TATATATATATATATATATATATATATATATATATATATATATGTTTGTTTCACAGAACGCTATTACTTGACAGAAATTGCCGCAATATTTAAAAACTCTGCGTGTCAATAAATAAAACGCGATAAAAATTAATTCTCTAACAAAAAGCTTAATCCTAAGAGAGGTACAAAATATTTCACTTACATAAAAATATATATATAAAAAAAGATCTGCCTGGTGTATATTAAAATATATGCATGTACATATAAGTAATAAGAATTTCGCCTTTGCTACTATAAAATCAAAGCTAGAAATTAAGTTTCATTGCATTATATATTATGTTATTATGTTATTATGTCTCGTATCATGCAGTATCTTTCACGAAGCACAGATTCGAGTCGTCTTCGAAACTTATTGTCTGTGATGTAAAACACGATCACTTAGTAATCGCGAGTATTTTTCGATCGCGTTCTCCGTACATTCAATACACACGTTCTATACACGCATACACACATACACGTGGGCACACACGTGTACCCACAAATATACGTAAATATACAGAATATCTCGAAGAATATGATAACCAGTGATAGGAACGTTATCTACTATTAAACTTAGAAGCTCAATATTTAACAAAAACTTAAACCTTGCTTGTTCCTTTTCAAGTGACATTCCAGTGCCAATTATTCATTTGACAATTATGTCTTCCAAATTAAAATTTCGTTAAAGTAAAGTTTACAATACTAATTAACAAAGTAACGTTTTCGTATTTATTTATCCTCTTAAAACTTGACTAGCTGCATACTTTAATCTTCAATATCAAGTGCCAGCACGATATTACACTGAATTTCATCTTCATATATATTTAATAAAAAAAAACACTTCTCTTCTTCAAGTTCATTCAACAGTAACCTATTACTGATTCTCACATTTTCTACAACATACTGTATATGAAAGGCATTCAGGAAGTTTTTCTCAGTTGCAATTAACAGTGATGTACATTTAAGTATTAATTCGTTAAAGGTATTTTGTTTAAGGTAATCGCCACGTTCTTTAGGTCAGTGTTCCTTAAACTGTCTTCCACAAAGTGTGGTAGTGGTGGTGGTGGTGGTGGTGTGTGTGTGTGTGTGTGGTGTGTGTGTGTGTGGTGTTCTGGAGATATAACTAAAAACTCTATGTTAGTAAAGATAATTGTGACGAATATTCATCCTCTGTTACAACACCTCGTCTATCTTGCTGTTATTCAGCCAACAAAAATAAGATTTAACCGTAAAAAGTTTACTGTAAAAATCAGAGCAATGGAAAAGCCCACAGAGCCAGGGTTCATCCGATTCAAGTCAAATGCAGAGCAAAATCGATGTGAGTGATCACAAGCGATCAGAATTGGCCCTGCCAATTTTCTCATTTTGATTTTTAATCAGCGAACCTTCCGTAATGTTTCATAACGTTAACTGTAAAACTTTATGCTATCTATCTTTTACATACAGGGTGTCAGCCCAGATGCCCTTTCAGTTACGGATTCTTTGATTTATGGTATGGATAGTTTTTTAGTGAGAAAACTACCTATTTTTGATATCTCTATGAACTATCTATCGATACGTCAGCACTCAAACGATTACCACTCTTCTTTTTCAGTTTAACTTTCAAGCGTTTGCTCCTTAATTATTGCAATGACATTCGAACTTTTTTATAACTTTTGTTGCCTGCTGTTCTTTTCTCCAGAGAACACCTTTTCGCGGATGCTTTATACGAAAAAGAAAAGATTTTACCCTTTGGTCTTCCGTGATTTGTAAGTTTAAGAAGCACTGGCGTTGCACATTGATCACCGCCAGCGTGTTGCAACACGCGGCGAGAGACAGTGGCAGCACGTTAAGTTTACAATTTTTCCGACAGATCGACTGTCTTCGAGACTAGAATCGATCGTCTACTATACACTCTCAATAATCTTTCCCTGCTTTCCGACGTTTGCTCCCCTTTCTTTCCCCCCACGAAATAAAAAATGGCCAACAAACTATCTAAAATACGTAAGACACTATTGACACCTATTACAGTTAAAAATTAAGTTTACAACGCTCGCTTTTTTTTTACACATATATACCTCGTCTAGCACGGGGTCGTCAACAATTCGCGCTGCTGTTCCCTAACATGGTGTGCAGCGGCTCCAAGGGTCTATGGAATATGGATCCGTGAAAAACAGGGCTCTACAGATCCAAAATCCTATCAAACGAAAGGTCTATATAATAAAAATCTGGAAATCCGCGTAGATCGTATCGGATATTATCGTATCAATAAAATTCGCAGCAATATGTGTAAATCCGCAGCAATATCATAGTCCTAAGCTCGTGATGTACCAGAGAATCTTTGGATTCTAAATCTCTGAAAGCGGATATATAAAATCGGAGATTCGTGATGTGAAAGACTTGTGCGAACGAAAGAGAGAATAGTACTTTAGACATTTATTTCAAAGATGAATCAAAAGATAAATCTGTTATATCAAACTTCTATTAAAAGTCAAACATCGAAGATATTTATACATCTAGTGTCGTTGAAAATAAATTACACGAGAAAGACAAAATTTATAAAAATAAAAAATTAAAAATCGTCGTGTGCTAGTGAGTCCACGCGACAAAGAATTTAGAGCACCAAAGACCCATGGAATCACGAATCTACAGCTATAAAGGGACGTAGAATGTTAAGTGTTTATGGAATCAACGGTCCTTGGAGCCAAACATGCATCCATTTTGTACCGACGACCACCAAAAATAACGATAGACAGTTTCAAACAGCATTTAGATCCGCCAGTTGGCATAGCGCCGGTACTTTGGCTCGAGCTGCTTCATGACTTCTTCGAATTCATCGATTTCGTCATCCTCGTCATCGTACTCGATCGCGTTGTCGATCTCATTACCTCTGTTGCCCTTATTCTTCTTTTGCGCCTCCGCTGCATTATTTCGGGCTGCAAAAAAGAAATATATCGTCCTTGTTCCAGAAACCAATATTCATACACGCGAATGAACTGCGCATTTAACATTTCCTACAAAGCTATACGAAATCTTCAGAGAGCATGTACAGTTACAATTGAATTAAAATAATTAAATAATAAGCAATACAGCAAAGAAAACCGAATTGTATTAGATTTGTGCGAAAGATTTGTTTTTCTATTAAATTCTCATAAGTTTGAAGATCAAAAAGAAAATAGAAAGTTCTCGTTAAATGTCGAAGAGAATACCGAGTCAATGTTGATCATTTTATTCGTATAAAAATTATTCCAATATTTCTAAATTCGTAAAAATTATTATTGAATAATTTTATTTTCTATTTGACTTTCACAAACAGGACAAACCTGTTGCACGAATCTAATAATTTAATCACTTATATCGTAGAACTCTAACTACAGCCAACTTCCTTTGAAGTGTTGAAACATGTCCGAGCGTTTTATCACAGAAAGTGTTAATGAACATGGAAAGAACATGGAGATGTTACCTCGCCCAAGGTGAATTTAGTTACGAGTTCAAGCGTGAAGACGAGAGGACATAGTTCATTAATAAGACAGAGAGACATTACTGTGCTCATCGAAAAGAGGAGAGGTCCAAGTTAAATACAACAAGGAAGAGACGTACACAAAGAGACTGGCAACAGAACGCAAAGCAATCGCTACGTTGAAAGCTCTGCAGGAATTTTCTTGCAGACGTTTGAACGATTCGAGTATCTTTTGCTCGAGACTGGCGAGACAGTTTGCACCGCTTGCCACGTACGGCGATTATACCTCATTATCGTCATAATTTCGCATAATAAGCAAAGCACAAGCTCTTTACACGCTTTCTTCTTCGAAACCGCCCGTTCCCAGCGATAGCGACAATAGCAAAGGCGACACCGATTGCTAAGTAAGTTGAACTCAAAGCAAAAGCGAAACAACACCACGTACAGTACAGGGCGTCGTGGCAACGAAAAAAAACATCCTCTCATCAGCCGCACGTGTCACATTAACTCCTAGAATGCACGACATCCTTGTCAGACGCACATATACTTATTCTACGTAACGTGAAACATTCGTTACGTATTTTCTTCTTTAATTTCTTTCTTTATTTCTTTCATGTGGTCGAGCAATTCTGGACCCTGACAGCCGGGCTCGTCTCGGGGAAAGACACGAAAGACTTCACGCTCGAGATAGCCGACGCTACAGCGAACCGGAGTCGCATTCTAGGATATTTTGCAGGAAGTCCCCAAGCTGACGAAGACGAAGAAGAAGAAGAAGAGGCACCCAGTCGCACAGTGTACTCACCTGGTGCCGTGCACGGTTGCGGGCGAGTGTGCGATCACCGGCGCTGCCGACGGACGGGCGACGCCTTCGTCGGCGACCACAACTTCTAGCGCGCCACTACTCGCCATCTCGGCGACGGGCCGCGCCGTGCTGACGACCGCGCACTTGATGCTGCTGAGGTACGAGCAGGCAATGCCGCTCACGCTATCGTTATCTACTAGTCGCACTTCCTTTGGGAGGAAATCCGACGCAAACTTGCCGAAGTTGACATCCCCGTCGTCGCTGCCGCCAACGCCGCCACCGCCGCTATCGTCACCGCCGTCGTCGTCGTCGTCGTCGTCCTCGTCGTCGCCCACACCGCCGTCCTCCCGCGGCGATCTCTTGGAAGTCACGACAACCCCTAGCCCCCGCTCAGCAGCGGACTCCACCCTGATGCATATTAACGAGCATTCTGACTCGATCCCGGAATCCACACTCTCCTGGAGACTGCCGCGCGTCGGCGGCAGCGGGTGAGCGTCTCCCGCGACGGAGTCATCGATCGTCATGGCGGCCTCATCAATACCCGAGTCCTGGCTGTTCCTGTGCACGTCTTCGGGATGCCCGATCAGCAGCGTGGTCGCCGTCGATGACGTTGTGGTCATTGGCAACTCGAAGTACGAGTCGGTCACCTTGGAGACGTCGTTCGGCGAACATCTGGACGGCACACTCGGCGACAGCTCATCCTCCACGGACGTGCCGTCTGTAGAGATGTCGGTGATACAGAATATCAGCTCGTCCGCGTCCGACTTGTCCAGGTTCGCGCACGTCTCCTCGTACGGCGTAACGAGAATCGTTGGATCGTTCCGTTGTCTCTCGGCGTCCTCCGATGGATCCTCCGCCTCGGCCGCGTCCTTAAGGATACTTCGATGTACGTCAACGTTATTTGGCATGGACGACTGTCGCTCGAGGAGCCTCTCTGACGCGTCTCGGCTCACCGCGACGGGACTCGTCATCGTCGTCGTGGTTGTCGATTCGCACGACTCTAGCTTAATATTTACACTTGTACTACTACAATGAGCGGAACCGCGGCAAACGTCGTCGAGAACCTCCGCGGAATCCTGCTGTTGTTCCTGCTGCTCTTTTTTCTCCTCTTCTCCTCTCGTGAAATCGCATCGGTGATTTTCGCCGGCGACGCGACGCGTGTCACTGGTAACTTGGTCATTTAAGTCGAAATCTCCCACGTCGGCGTCCCTCGAAGATATCGACGGTGTCCCGCCGTCGTCTCCCGGTGCAGACGTCATCCCGTCGACGTCATTCGCCGCGGCGCTCGTCGTCGGCGCACCCGCGACACTTAAACTATCTACAACTTTCCTATCGCGCGCTATGTTACAAATCGGAAAACTACTATCACTAGTCTGATTAATACTGTCCGTCGTGGTTGTATCACATGTCCTCGTCTCCGTCGCGGCGCACGTTCCTCCAGCCGTGACGTCGTCGCCACTTCCTAAGCACTTCACGCTGTTACTCCCGAAAACCTCGCCTCCGTCGTGTTCTACAACTTGCCGAGAATCCACTCGTGCCAAACGCTCCACGGCGTCGTTACGCTCTGCGCACTTCGGATCCTGCTCGTCATCCTCGACGCCGTCGTCCCTACGTGCGGAACACTTCGCATCGTCACGCACCATGTCGTCGGCCTGACTTAATTCTAAAACAGAGTATTCAGGTATGTCCGTTAACTTTACAGCTACGCACGCGGTGAATTTGTTCGTCGACGCCGGCGACGATAACGATAACGATGACGATGATGATGACGATGATGATGACGATGACGACGTCGGCGACGACGATGTCGTCGCGTTTGACGTCGCGACGCACCCGCTTTTTAATACTAGATCCTTATCGGCAACATCTTCCTTTGATTGCACACTTTCAGGTAACGATCGGTCATCAGGTGCTGCGATCCGTTGTAATTCACACACGCTGCACGAGTTCTCTTCAACGATCACTCGACCGTCTGGCGGATCTGCGAAATCTTGGCCATCGCTGCTTACAACCTCGTCCCTTTCCCGAACTTCCAGTTCCTCACTGTTGCTCGGAGTCACTTCTTCGCGCTCGTCTTCATTGTTCGTAATAACCTGATCCTTATCTTGCTCTTGGAAGTCTTCTTTCATGTTGCCAACAACCTGTGTTTCCTCCGGCTCTTTCGAATCCTTCTCGTTGCTCCGTGAAACCTGATCTTTCAACTGCTCGAATAAATTATTCTCGTCATTTGAGACTTGGTTCTTCTCCCGATTTACCACATTCTCCTTGTCGTTTCTCGTAATTCGATCGAGTGACTTCTGCTCATCGTCCCGTGCAACTTGACTCTTCCTCTGACCAAATAAATCTTCCCTGTTGTCTCTCGTAATCTGATTCTGTTCCTGATCGAATAAATTACTCTCGGCATTCCTCGTAATCTGATTCTTCTCCTTATCAACCGAATTGCTTTCATCGTTTCTCGTAACTCGATTCTCGTCCCGACTAAACAAGTCCTCCTTCTCCTCGTCTTCCTTCGCAACCTGATTCTTCTCCATATTATCTATAAAATCTTTCTCGTTATTGATCGTTCGCAGATTTTGCTCACAACAGGCACAATTTTCCTCGTCGTTTCTCATAATTGGATTATTCTCTTGCGCGACGAAATTTCTCTCGTCATTTTTGACAACCTGACCTTTCTTCTGACTAATAAAATTCTTCTCGTCGTTTCCCACGACCTCGACTTCCGCCGCTCTCTGCGGATCCCTCTCATTAACATTCGCGGCCTGATTCTTCGCTTGACCGAAAAACCTCGCGCTGTGCTCGACGAGACTCGCGTGAGGATCGAGCTTAAAAGACGTGAATATGCCGGTCAAGCTCTGCAGCTGCGATACATTTAATCTTATCGATCTATTCCGCGACGGAGACCCGTGCTCCGAGGACCACGACGAGCTATCTGTACTAACTTTGGCTCGGCCTTCTTTCAGGTACTGCTGCAATTTGTCGCCCAACGCCATCACACCACTCATATTCTCCTGCAGGGAGGTTCTCGTGTCCACAGCAGCGCTCGACGAGTCTGAGAAGAGGCTGCTGGGATTTTGAAACAATGACAGGAGCTTCTCCAAACTGGATTTGTGTTTTTGCACCGACGTGCTCGCCCGTTCCTGCGGTTGCGAGTTGGTCGTGCGAATCGTCCCCAAACTCATATTCATGGAAGATTCCGAAACCTCGCCGGAGAACACTTCCGAAGCCGGCTTCGCGAGCGATTCCGTCGCGGTATCATCCAGGGACGTTTTTGTCGCGCTACTCAAGGCTCTACTATCCTCGTCTACGCTAATCCTAGCCGAAGCAGTATCTTCGCTCGGATATGCAGGTACCTGTAGCTCTTTTGTACTCGTATACACGGCACGACAGTCTCCGGTAGTCTCGGTATCCCCGCAGACTGTCGTGACGCTTTTGAGATCCATTCCAACGTTGCCCCGACTCGCCGTCTCGTTGTGAGAATCTTCGCGTGTCGCAGCGACATCTTCGCTTCTTCTGGACTCCATCTCAACTTCATCCCGCGTTAATCGCGCTTCTTCTTGAATCTTTATCACCCCATCGTCGGGTCTATGTTCGCACGGCACGACAACATTCTTGTCCGTTTTGGATCGCGTTTCAACGTCGCGTTCGTGCGATTCGACCGCTATATCGGTCTTCTTTATATCGCGATGGTCCTCAATCTTGGCAACGCTCTCACAAGACGAGGACGTCTCTCTCACCACCGAGACTACGTTATTAAGCATACCCGACACGGTCGCGTTGTTATCGACGTTCTGCGTCGCCACGCCACTTTTGGTCGCGCTGCCGGCATCGCCGGAGTCGCCCGACACCTTAAAGTTAAAGCCGATCGTGACGTTGCCGCTGGGAGAGGTGATGACTGACCTGGGCGACGAGTGACCGGCACTCACCGACTCGACTACCGACACGCGAAACCGCGACGGTCCGGAGCTCCCGCCGGTGAATAAACATGTGGGAGAGGAACCGAGCGACGGTGGGGTGACCGGTGAGGAGGACGCCGAGGAGTCGGTAGAGCGCAGCGACGCCTCTGGTACCCGACACACGACGAAGCGATTACGGGACGGGCTGGGAATCGGACTGGCCACGGGGGAGGGAATAGGACTGGGAGCCGGGGAACGCAGGCGACCTCCGCTGGTGCGCTTCGGCTCCAGCATACTGCGTGCCGCTGTTTCATCGGCGGCGACCAACGACGCCGCCGGTCGTGATGGACATGGCAGTGTCTGACAGGTAAGCGAGATCTTACGGGAGCTCGCGTTCAGCAGCCGGCTCGGGTGCTGCGGGCTCTCAGCATCCTCGGTGGATGCTTCCAGCAAGCGGCACTCCTTGTTCTGACTGCAACAGCTGCGTATCTCCGTGATCAGCTCTGTATACTGGTGCAATGGGCCATCCTTTTGTTCGGACAAAAATGAGTCGGTTAGGTGGCACTCTCATTATGTAGATTTCTAGTAGAATAGGCGGTTTTTTAAATACAATCTTATATATTTAAGATCGCTATAATTTTATCTTCAGATACTTAACTCTTCGAGCGCATATCTTTGTAAATTTCCAAGTCAAATTGACTCAATGTAATGTTTCCAATTATATATCTCGAAAAATTTTATGAAAAAAACACTTCTTAAAGCTAAAGGCCCATATTCTGAATCCTTTTTTATCTATAAAAGTGTCTTAAATATAGCTTCTCAGCCAAACAAGTGGCTCTTTTAGAGGCATTTTTATAGATAAGAGGATTCAGAATATGGGTCAAAGAGTAATATTTTCATGGAATATTGTAAATTTTGAGGAAAAACTTAATGCGACATGTGAAAATTATGATCGAAGTTGATCATGGCTGAAGAAAAGTACCTTTTTATTTAAAATTAATGAAATTTTTGCTTTTTAATATTAAGGAAAAGAATTCCTTCAGAATTTTGTAGTTATAAGCTTTAAAACTGCTATTTTGGATTTTTTGTTTTCTTCAAATACTATGTTTATTCTAGGGTACGAAGTTAGATATTTTTCGCTCGACGCCCGATTGCCCTGACCGCCACACATATAAGCAAGTTCGAATCAGAGCTGGTATAGTACTTCGCGAGAGTAGGCCTTTCAAACTACAATATATTACGCTCAAAAACCACTAAGTGATTTAAAGTTATTCCACTAGAAAAAAAATCAGATTAAAATGATCCAGTGTGCACTAGAAGGGTCAAGATCCGTTTTATTAGCTGCATAATTCACCTTAAGATGAATTTTAAATGATTTTAAATGTAATATTAGACTATGAATATTTCTCTAATTAAAAGACGCGTGGGACTCACTATTCTTATCCGTGGTTTATCATCCAGATCGATCTGCGTAATGCTCTTGTTCCTTTTCATCACATTTACCAGAGCTTGTATCCCACGCATCTGTATGCTGTTGTCCCGTAAATCTATCCTCTGCGAGCGAAGGATATCAATACAGAATACCGATGAGAATACATTGTAGAAAAAGCAAAAGCTCACCTGCAAAACCTGATTCGTCTCCATTATTTCAGCGAGCGTGACTATTCCGTCGCACGTGAGTTCCGTTGATTGCATGCCCAATTGCAGCAGGACACGGTTATTCTTCAGCGATTCGTGAACGATGCTCAATACCTCGTCCGTCAGCATGTTTTGACCAATATTCAGAGTCTCCAATGTTTTCGATAATGCCTGAACACAATTATTGTGGACGTGATAGAGCAGCAAACGCGTTACGCTACAAATAGCATTTCTTTTATTTCTTTACTTGTATTCTCTTTTTTAATCGTTGCAGACTTAAGATAGCTCGAGATTTTCTTTCACACGCACGCAATGTTTTTGTGTATTAAATTTTAAATTATCCTTTTTCTTTTTCAACCTGTTAATCTAATATATCTACTAATAATGGCACGAATATACATGTGCAACAAAAATATATGACAAAAAAAATTAATAAAACGATTACGAAAATGTTTAATATCATTGGAATAAAATCTATTAACAAGAAGATTATCGCTGGAACGATTTGCAAATTTATATAAATCAGAAGAATGGCTATGTGATATCGTAGGTTCCATGAAAACAAAGTGGATTGTAAAATATTCGTAATACATACTATAATTCTTGAAAAGTAAGGTGACGATTTTTTGGTTAGACGATTATTCCAAAGTATCAAGATACTAAGTCCCTTGCCAGTTTTGTCCTCATTCACTTGATTAATCAGGCCCTCCAATATATCCCGTACACCGTCGTCCTGGACGTTATTATTACTAAGGAAAAAACATTTTCAAGAAAAAATCTGTTCTAATTCGTTATTCGTTTAAACAATGCATGCCTCACGCAAATATGAGACAAACATTAACGCAACGTACAATCTACGCACAAAAATCAGTACGATTACGCATCTAATTTAATCTATCGCAATTTTCATTCCAGTTTTCTAAATTAACTTAAGATTACGTAGAAATCAGAATAAATCGAAAATACAAGGAATAAATAAAAAAATACAAGGAAAACACTTTGAAATTTACTCACTACTTTGTAATTATTAAATGACATATACCTGATATCGAGCAGTTGTAAATGATTGTTCATCCTTAAGAGAGATCCAAGTTGTATAGCGTCGTATAAGTCAAGCCCGTTATCGGCTAAATATAGTTCCCGTATACCGCTATTCATTTTTAGAGCTGTAACTGTTACAAAAACGGGAATATATAGATTGTTATGGAAAGAGGGTTTATACGAATAATTAATAATA